AGCCGACATCAGGACGGCGTTCCTCCACGCGAGGATGGAACCGGGATCGAAACCAGTGTACGTCATTCCCCCGGAAGGATTCTCGTGCGACAGCGAGAGAGCCAGGCAAGTCTGGAAGCTCAGAGCGTGGCTTTACGGGTTGCGTTTTTCCCCAAAATGCTGGCGGAGCACTCTGCACGATTAACTCCTGAAGATCGGATTTGTTGAGAGCACCGCTGAACCGTGCTTGTACATCCTGGACGACGGAGATGTGCTCCTTCTCGTTTATGAGGATGACATTCTGCTGACAGGGGAGGGTGGGAACAAAGTGCTGAGCATAGTAGATCAGCTGAATGAGCGTTTCGAAACGGTGGACCTGGGAGGAGCCAGGTTCTTACTCGGTATGGGAATCAACCGAGACAGAGCCGCAGGGACAATACCAACGCAGTGTTGGACAAGTTCGGCATGGCCGACGCGCGTCCGGCGACATGTCCGTCTGAGGCTGGACCGGTGTCCGTCTTGGAGGACGAGGTGTTGTCAGCGGAGGATACCACATATTTCCGCTCCGCCACAGGCTCGCTTTTTTATCTCAGCAGGTGCACAAGGCCCGACATTACTCACTCCGTGATGGTTTTGACGCGGAGTATGGCGAAACCAGGTTCGAGGGCGATGCAGAAACTCAAACGCGTACTCGGGTACCTGAAAGGGACGATATCAATCGGTGTGCGCTACGGCGAGGATGCCGAAGACGGAAACGTCATTACGGCGTTTGTCGGCTCAGATTTTGCAGGCGACCTAGACAAGGGCTACTCCACCACGGGAGTCGTTCTGTAGATCGCTGGTGGACCGGTAGAATGGACATCATCCAAGCAAACGGTGGTGGCGACCTCTTCCGTCGAAGCAGAGTTCGTGGATTTGTCGAAGGGGTGTAACATCATCAAGTAGTTTCCCGCCACCTGCTGGACACCATAAATCAGATTCAGGAAGAAGCAACCGTGGTGTGGGAGGGAAAGTCGGGAGCTCTGAAATTAACTCGCAGCTTCCGTATCACCCCAAGGACTAAGCACATTGACGTAAAGTTTCACCACGTAAGGTCGCTGGTAGCTGATGGAGTCGTAGACGTGAAGCAAATAAATATCGACGCCGCTTCGGAAAGCGTATATTTTTACAAAAGAGCTAAACCCGTCGGAGTTTCTCCGCGCCCGTGGCATGCTGTTAGGAGTTTGATCACCTCCCCTCTTCGTAATCAGACTTCATGTCTGAAGGGTTGGATGATGTATGTGTGTGTATATGTTTAAAGAATAATCGGGAGATTTGTGTTGAAGGAAAACATTCGCTGCTGATGCAACGCAGCTGAGAAAGGCAGAACAATTGTGAGTCAGAAGATACCATTGTTTCGAGAGGACAGTGAGAGAATTGGATCTGATGCATTGGTACTAGAATGACGTAGTTCTTCAGAGGACATGTTGGAGTAATTGCAGTGCAAGAACGACTCTATTCTACTGCATGGGTTCATGCAGTATTGTGAAGGCGTTGCCAAGTGTGTAACCGTCAGGTGAAGACAGCTTGGGCGTCTGTGTGGATAATAATAATATCACGCTGTGTGTTTGCCTACCTAACCTCGCATCACATGCTAGCTACTTTGTAGCCACAGCTGAAGGAATAGCTGTACAGCGACTGCAGTGACAGTGCAGTTGCCTCAACAGATGTATTCCAGTATGTGTAGCTGTAGGTGTTAGTACATGTGCGCGCGATTGAAGCCTCTGCTGCTGTGTGGATCATATTCGTGTGGCCGAGCTGGAATAGTCTGCAGCCGCAGCAGTTGGTGATTTGAGAATGCACGAGAGCGGAGTTGTGTTGTGAGGTATAGTCTAGTCTAGCTGTAGACTGTACTGTAGACTACGAGAGCGGAGTTGTGTTGTGAGGTATAGCTGTAGAACAACTCTACCAATGTACTGTGCGTCTGCGTTGGTTGGACTCTGCATATGATACAGCAACAGAGCAAGATCTGTTCGTGCTGTTTTACGTGTTGTTGCCGAGGTGTGCTGTTTCTTGTTTGCGTGAAGTCCGGCACGCCTGCTTGCCGCACACGTTTACGTCCCGCACGTCTCTGACTGGAGTTTGTGTACACTAAAGTCAGCGTGTCTGCGTAATGCCAACCACGAGAGCCGAGCGGAGGAAACCAAATGTGCTTGTCCTTTATGCGTTTGCTGCGTTCCACATCATCATAGACTCGGCGTATCATATGCACTCCGAGTATCATATTTTTTAACTTGTTTCTTCCATCCGTATCCGTGCTCGGCTTGGCGAAAACAAGTTCTACTCTATCCGTACCGGTCGTGCGGGACGAGACGAACGGAATATCTATCCCGTCTCCCACGCAGGAGGCAGACACATGCGCCAGACAACAAACGCACGGAGGAGGACAGAGCCATCACCCTTAGCGGTCAACGCATGGATTCAAAAATTATAAATAATTGTCTGGGTCAAAGGTGGAGAAAGAGCAGGCCCGCCGATCAATAGTCTACATCTACAGCAACTCAACACCAGCAGATATTTCGAGTCCCCAACCCTCAGATTGACATGTGCCCACTGGTGGGTCCTACAGCGGGCGCGGGCGAGGTCGCAGGCCTTGAACGAGAGTACCTGTACTCTGAAATATTGTTGCTTTCGAAAACGTCCGATAGTTTCTTCCGCTTGAGTGCAACGTTGCCTGTCAACTTCAGCCCTATGGCTTTCATGTAGGCGATCGCGACTGCGTCCGTGAGGGTGCAGATCTGTTCAAGCTTCAAAGGTACCCCGCTAGCGACTCTTTCACTCGCTCTATCTCTGTCCCCTCTGGCGCGCTTCGATGCCGGCGGCGGTGTTGAAGTAGAAGTCGAAGCAGAGGACGTCCTGACTCGAGATACCTCGTTCACGGTTGCGAGGTCGGCGGCGGCATCTCGGTCCCTTCCTGCCTTGGCCGCTATCTTGGATCGTTTTCGCGCCTTTTCTACCGTAGAAGGCGCACGGATAAGTTTCGGCGCGCAACCCGTAGGTGCTTGCGTACCTTGCGTTGTAACGTTTCGTCGCCTCGGCCATCACCTGGCTCTTCTCGTCGCAGACCATCGTCGCTTCCGCGAGACAGGTGGCAAAGGCGTCCAGCTCTGCATCACTTGTCGGAGTCAACGCCTTAACCCGTCTCCAGGGTCGGGTGCCTTGAAGGCAAACGCCGCCGCCCCCCGTAGTTACCGCGCGAGATGTCCTGGGCGGCGGCTTCTCCAGCGTTGCTGCGGTAGGTCCTGCTGGTCGCACGTCCCATCACCCCGTCGCCACTGGCACCCGCAGCGCCCTCGGCAGCATCTCCTGTCGTCGTTGACGGCAACAACAGCAGCGGGACGGCTCCCGCCCCCTCGGCAGCCCCTCCTGTCGCCGTTGGCGGCAACAGCAGTGGCGGCACGGCCCCCGCACCGGCGGAAGAACCTGTCGCTATCGTCGACGGCATGAGCGCCGCCGCTACCGGACGACCTCCTCTGTTGGTCAACGGCAACGGCATCACCCTCGCACATACACCCACCGCGGTCCCCGCCGGAGCCCCCGCTCCTGCCCCGACGGCCGCGGTCCTCGTCCGGTGGGTATCTCCTGCCGTCGTCGACGGCAGAGAAGTACGGGCGTTGATTAGCGAGTTCACCGCGGCGGTTTTTGCGTGTGTCAGAGCGTTGGCTCTCCTAGGGATACCGCTGGCTTGTCACAGCGAAGGCCATGAAGTCGAAGCCCAGGCAAATGGATGGATGGTTTTTGCTCTGAACACTTCCACCCGTTATGGCCTCTACTCTCGGGTGCCTCCTCCCCCTTCGCCCTCTTGGAAGGCCAAGCAACGATTAACACTTGTCTCTTGGCCGCCAAGATGTCGCCCGGGGTGTTCTACGCAAGCGACATTGGCCTCGACTCCCTTGTCGTTCCCGCCGCAAGAAGTGAAACTCCTGTGGACGTCTTATCCCGGGATCGAAATAAAACAAGCAACACATCGCTCACCCAGCCGTGCTACAGGAACACACGGACACAAGCAGCCTACAGTAGCTTTCGTGCAGCACCTCATCTGTACGAACGTTGCGTTCGAAAATACAACAAAGTGCTTAGTGCACATGCGATACACATAATTAACAAGTGCTTCACAACAGCCAGTTCAGCTTTTCAGCAAACGCGTTCGTTCACCACGATGTTGTTGCTAGTGGCTGTTTGCGTGCCGACGAGGGTCGACTCTCCCCGTGCGGGGCTTATACACGTCCATCTCCGTCACCGTCCACAGCCCGTTTGTACTGTGCGGACACCAGAAATCTGGCCATGAGGTTATCTTCCAGGATCCTCTTGATCTCCCTCTCGGCTTTGACGAAAATCAGCTTTCGCGCATCCTGTACACGAGAAGGACGAAAGAACAACAACGAAAGTGATCCGGCGGCTTCGCGCAGAATCTGCACACCTACTGATGGCCGTTTTTGCACAGGTACGAACATCGTGTTCTAACTGGTCGCGGCGCTAGGAGTAAGGGGGCGATCAAACGGGAATCGAAATGGCGCATGCTTCCTTGTTTACCCTCTGGAGGCGTCGAAGAGGCTGCATGAACTACGAAGGGACTTCTTCGACAGTCTTGCACGACACATGTTCAAGATGTTGTCGAACCCGGAGTTTCAGCTCAACTCACCCCATGTGAAAAAGAGAATGAAAGCCCCGCAAAAGTGAACAATAATAATCGGTATCATGTCTACCGTATGCCTCGTTCGTGTCTGTTGCTCTGGGCGAACGGTTTGACACCGTCCGCGTGTCAATCGCTGCTCTGGAAGAGAAGAGTTGACCATCTGTAGCTACCTGGATTTCTCCAGCAAGTGGCCGTACGACTTGTCAATTACCGTATGTGAGAGGGAGATAACCACAATGAAGAGCAGATCAACGGGCATTGATCCTCAGCCCCAAGGAACCGGTCTACGCACGAACCATATTCAGTCGAAGGTGGGCCGAGTGTGCCTTTTTTGGTTGTTTTAACAAAAGCCGGACCGTCCATAACCGCGTCGCCACAATTCCAGCAGGAAAATACACCACGTTTCGGCCATGAAGACAAAGGGGGAGTTGGTGTGTTGCCAGGCCCCTAGCATTGTTGTATGCATGAGTACATGGACTTTGATTGCAACATAACCACTTGGGTATTGATATTTCGAAATTTCCTGAGTGTTCGCGGCAAGGTCAAGTCCTGAGCGTGTTGACGACGCCAATTCTCGGACGAAAGCACCTCCGATTCGCGCTACAAACGCCAGACGCGGCCTGACATGGAAGAAGCGCTTTGCAGGCATGTATGGATAAAAATTGGCTGTCCACATCGAAAATTTCGCGACTTGCTCAAACTGTTTGCGGGGCAGCCGCAGCAGTACCCAACCATTTGTCGCCACGGCAAGCTTCGGGACGGGGAGAGCGTATTCTCGTTGCAGAGTGTGGAGGCGTGAGCAAAACCCAAGAACGGCTTCATGGATTCTTCCTCCACCACGGGTCGAGGTGCGCATGGCCTCGTGCGCTATCGCACGTGGGGCGGATGCGCACCCAGGCTGAAGACGAAGGAAAACCTTTTGTGATCCTTAAAAACATGCTTGTTCCCACCGACTGCGCCCAAACCGCCACTTTCGTTACTTCTACCGCAAGTGACACAAGAGAGCACACCCCCTGCACCAAACCTTCAAAGCTCGATCGCTCCGCGGTAGGAAGAATGGCGGTGCCGACAATGTCGGCGTTGGAGCCGGCTCGTAGGAAACATATCCATATTTTGATTACGCATCCTCGCGGTCGTGCAGCAATGTATCGATATTTGAAAACCGACCCCCGGAGTGTGGTATCCTGTGTATTCGGAGGTACGGTAGAGACCAAAAAGGAAAAACCGAGCACGCCGAAGCCATGCCTCCAGGCACGCCCGTGCTGGATTCTCCGTTCACTTTGCTTCTCACCTGGTCAAGCAAGGTGAAAGCTTCGAGCCTCCTTCCTTGTCTTTACTTATCACATGTTCAAGCGAAGCGAAGGATAAAAAATGAACTTCCTCATTACTGCTCACCTGGTCAAGCGAGGCGAAGGCTTCGGCCTTGGCCAGCTCCATGATGTCGTGCTTGGTGTCGCTGCCGATGTTGATCTCCGAGGGAGCGCCGTCCTTGATGTACTCGTTCACCATGGTCGCCACGTCCCCCAACCTGCGTGTTGGTGCCTCGTTCTCCTCTTCGGCGCTGCCGTTGGCATCGCCGTCGACGGGGCCTTCGACGATCACGCCTCTAAACTCCGAAGCATCCAGGAGAAACTGAAAAGACTGCGAATGAGATGATGCGCACAGACGTACAAGCATGATGTGATCAGAAAACCGATCGATAGTCAGAGGGCGATCGACGTGCAGATGGCCAAAAGGAGAATATACACGGGGGCGTGACACGTGGACGGCGATTCTTTGTTCACACTAGCGGGAGGTGAGGAGCGGGGAGATACATCGAACATTACATCATCCAGCCCAAAGGCCCCGCCTCAGCGAGAAAGTGCTCGGAAGGAGAATGTCCCCGTGCTGTAGTGTCTGCAGCACACGCCCTTGTCACTCTCTCGTGTGTGATTTGCATACACCAGCCACGTCGACGCCTTCGGAACGCCGCCTCGTACGCCATACCAAAACACCTACTGCCACGCTTGTTGCGACCCCAACCGTAGAGAGTCAGAATTCCGTGCTCCATGCCAGCTATGGTTGGATTAGATACGGCTTGTTCGTAAGTGCACGTGGCGGAGGTCGGATAAGCCGGTCTCGCTAGAGCAGATGAAGGCAACCGCCGTAGACGAATGAACTATTCTGCGCGGCCTCGTTTCTAGGAGGTCTGAAATTGAAGAAGGAGAGGCGAGGGCGTAGGGCAGCTAGAAATTGTGAGCGACGAAAATTTAGCCATTGACTCTCCACGGCTTGTCACACACCACACATCCACTAACCTCGCTGCAGAGCGATTTCTGGCAGAACTCTCCGAATGCTTCCCGCAGCGGGAGGTAGTTCATGATGCCGGCGAGCCGGTTCGAATCGATGTAAGGCTCGCGGCTGTGTTGGCTCGGATTCTGTGTAACATCCGAGGTAACTTCCTCGCCGCCGATAGTTGAAGTGCTCCGCCGCCTCGCCCTCGACGATAACGCCAGCAGCATCTGGACACCTTTCGGAATGCCATTTCTTCGGGCGTGATACAGGACCTCTTGGATGGGTCTGATGTTCCTGCGCAAGCCCACAACGAAGGAGGAGCAGGAGGAGGAGGCACATGTGCACGTCGCTGCTCAATCAGACGCATGTCGAAGAACGGCGGTTGACTGCATGAGGGGAATCGCGACCACGGCCGGCCACCCGGTAGACGTGTGCGCGCTCTGTGTTTTCGAGTGACTAGCATGAACTCCTTAAAGGATGTCGTCATATTGCATGGCTCATCAGCCTTGGCCAAAAGCCAAGGGCCTGAATAGCCCCGAGCATCATTCCCTCTCTTTTCTAAACACCGCGGAAGGTGGCCGGGCACAGCAAAAAAAAAATCCCCGAAGAAGCTACAACTCCGGGGTGGCACCACGAAAGGTAGGGGTGGTACATATCCCGACTCCGGGCAGGCTCGCAACGACCACAACACATGGAACGGGGTGTAGGACTCACAAAATCCATACCGCGGGCGAGTGCGACATGGTCATGAAAACGACGTTGGCGTACTTGAACGCCAGGGCAGAGAGTGGTAGCACCTGGATCGCCCCAAAAACGGCTGGGAAACGGCAAGTGAACAACAGGCACCGCGCAAGAAACGGCCATGGGGGGGTACCAATATCGATCGCTTGAGGTGGCAGGTGTCAGCTAACTCCGTCAAGCATTTTCAGTGCGACGAAGAAAGTCTCATGTCGTGTAAGATCGCCACGATATTCGGCGAAGCCTCATCGAAAAGTTGCTGTTGGTGTTGATGGTGTTGCAATTCTGGTTGATACGTTAAAAACGGTTCAGCTTCCCGTCCAAGTACCTTCCTAGCATCCGTGGGCAAACTTTGCGACGCTTTCACAGACGACCTCTACCAAGAAAGGACTTGAAGTCGAACCACAGATTCACACAATTTTCAGGAGGCTTCAACATGGAGGACGCACGTGCGATAAATTTGGTGAGAACAGGCGTGACCCACCGAACGATCGCACGTAGCAGTCCTGATGCAGCGCAGGTACTTGTGGCGGTGGCTCGTGCTTACAAGTGTTCGCCGGACAACCAAAAAGACAATACCGGGCAGCACTCCCCAACGTATGAACCACCGCGATATATCAGGCAAAAGGGATTAGATGTACATACGTTCACTGGACGTAGTCCATCACTCACGTAAAGCTATCAGCAGGATCATCCCAACCAGGCGCATATCCCGGCCCATGTTGCAGAGGTCGTGTATCCGCTTCAACTGGCGGCCGAGGCACACCACCGCCATGAGAGTGATGAACGCCGAGAGCGGGCCCAGGTTCGTCATGATGACTGCAACTCTGCGAATCATAGCGGCGGAGTAGGCTCTCGGCGTTAGACACAACATAGACACATTTCAAAGGAGTTGTAAGGATATGTAGGTAGTTTCTGTATAGTCATCGCTGCCTGAGTCTGGCTGGCTGGCTGCGTCTCTCTCTCTCTCTCTCTCTCTCTCTCTCTCTCTCTCTCTCTCTCTGTGCCTCTCATCTCTGTCGCTGTGTCTGTCTGTCTGTCTCTGTTTCGGTCTCACTCTCACGCACCAAATAAGGAAGGAGTACAGCAGTTGCACGTTTCCGTGACCGTTGAGGGGGGCTCGCCCGACGCGGAACTTCGAACACTGTAGCCTACCCTGCTTCATTTTCATTCCCTCACCTCTCGATGCCCTGCGCTGCAGCTGCCAACCACACCACCGTCTCCACCAAAAGGTAGGTAGCTGCTAGGCCGCAAGTCCACGGCTTCTCTCTGGTCACTCTTCCGTACTTGGCCCTTGTGCTGGGGTAGTACATGACAAATAGCCGTAATGCCGTCATGATCAACGCTATCTCGGCAATCCACAGCGCTGGGAAGCCGACGACGTTTAAAATTTCCAAGTTCCCCACCACCAAACCGTACATCGTAAGTGTGTAGCGCAAGGTGATGCCGAACCCGCTCGTGCATGCCAAAATCGGAGACCTGATTGTGGAAAGAGGTTGCCGGTACACCGGAAGTTAGTGTATGTACATACGGTCCGTGCACAGCAATTTGTCCAAAAAATTCCCATGCACAAAGTGCAACTTTTCTCTGCACACAGGTGGTTGTTCGAAAATCTGAAAGTACCGGCAAATGCCCTGTTTACAGGCGCAGGGCGTGACGGAGAGCTTTTGTTTATTTCCTTGGCTTTTTACTTCCGAAAAACCGAAAAAACTTGTTTCGTATACAGGGGGTGTTTTTTTTTGCCGACTCACAAACACTCAACGGTCTCATCAGTCTCTAGATGGGTATTTTTTGTTTTTCCGGGGAAAACTCTGGTTCTCGAGATAGTGCACATTTTGTCGTGCCGTGCTATCGGAGATTGTTTTGCTGTTGGGAAAGACGCTCCCACAACAAACTGGCACACGTGGCGGCCCGAACAACACGAGACACGCACGCAAGCAAGCAAGCACCATGGCACGGCCAAAGAAGAAGAAAATCGGCAAGCGCGGAGCCGATGGCCGGGCGGTTCCGAAGAAACCGAAGCCGGCGCAGCAACATGATCTTCCGTCACGCGGCGCTGGTGATGCGCTCTCCGACGGCCACGACAGCGCCGATTTGATGGACGTGGATCAGGAAGAAGGCAAGGCGGCGGCAGACGAGGATGGTAACGACGAGGAATGGTGCGATGAGGATGCCAGCGGCGCACACAGCAATGGTAGAGGTCAGTCGATCCTGTGTATTGCGAAGTGGTCGGTGGCGTCCGCAGGTCGCGATGCAGGAAGTGCGGCGAAAAAAAATCCGCTGCGTGTGCTGTCGAGAAGTCAGCAATTTCGCAACAGAAAAAAACTTTTCCAGCAACAAGCAGTAGGCTTGGCACGAGCTATGGGAGCGTTCATCCGGAAGTCGCAGCAGCAGCAGCAGCAGCAGGAGCAGGAAGAGGAGGAGAGCTCCTCTGCCAGTGGTGAGGTTGGCCCAGCAGAGAAGTCAGCGGCGGTTTTAGAGGTTGAGTCGCATACAAGCTCTTCCGGCGGCGGCGGCGTTTTGGAGTAGTTGCGCCGCAGAAGCAACGGCAGCATCGGCAACATGTCCATAGCTTCGGGCCATGGGCTTATTCTTCCTTCTTCCCCTTGCTCCTCGACAAGCTTTTGCTTAGACATGGGTTGTAGTGAAGGGGGGGGCCTTTCTGGCGAGCAGGGCTAGACTCACCCTCAAGGGATGTCCGAAACCTTCTTGCTGCTGCGCAT